TGTGTGTTTGAGAGAGAGAGAAATAGAGAGTGTGTGTCAGCATGTGTGTGTGTGGTGTGTGTGTTGAGAGACAGAGAAAGAGAGAGAGTGAGCGTGTGTGAGTGTGTGTGTGTGTGTGTGTGTGTGTGTGTGTGTGTGTGTGTGTGTGTGTGTTTGAGAGAGAGAGAAATAGAGAGTGTGTGTCAGCATGTGTGTGTGTGGTGTGTGTGTTGAGAGACAGAGAGAGAGAGAGAGTGAGCATGTGTGTGTGTGAGTGTGTGTGTGTGTGTGTGTGTGTGTGAAAGAGAGAGAGAGAGAGAGAGTGTGTGTGTGTGTGTGTGTGTGTGTGTGTGTGAGTGTGTGTGTGTACACGCATGTGTGTGTGTGTGGGGGGGTGTGTGTGTGGGTGTGTGTGCACGTATGTGAGTGTGTGTGTGTGTGTGCACGCATGTGTGTGTGAGTGTGTGTGTGCACGCATGTGTGTGTGAGTGTGTGTGTGTGTGTGTGTGCGTGCGCAACTCTCACTTGCTCACTTGCAGACATCTTCCTCAGAGCTTTTGACTGGAACAAAATATGTCTGCGTTTGATGAAAGTGTCTTACAGACATCAAAACATCAGCAAGTGAGAATTTATACTGGTTGTATAAAAAGAAACCCTAGTCTCCCATGCCTTACCTTGACCAGATTAAACTACTTTTGGAAGTTTGAACTTTGATTCTGAAAAGTTCAGTCAGGACTCAGGATCAATAATGAGCTGTTTCCCCCTCTTCCATCCGTATCGCGTTTCCTTCCTGTGTACCATAAGGACGGAATGAGTAGAATTCTTCCCCCAGTAGAACCCATCAGAACTGGATTCGCATGGCTGAGAACTGGGGCCGTGGTGTTGTGCTTTATTACTTCCAGTAAGGAGGTTATGGTTTCCAATCGGTTGGACCTAGGAAAAAAATGTTGTGTTTCCTGTTTCCCTGACCGACCCTAGAAAAAATGCAGACTCTACAAAAAGCTGCCGACCCTGTGTGTGTGTGTGTGTGTTTGTGTGTGTGTGTGTGTGTGTGTGGACCCCTGCAAGGGGCATAAATTTTTCAAGCTGATTGCTCTTTTTTAGCTCCATGATCTGAAACCTGACTGATAAAATGGTTTTCCAACATTGACATTGAAACTAAAAGTGTCCTCATGCAAGTTTTACTTTGTTAAACTGTATTGTATAAGTTGGATCACAAGTTGGATCACTAGAGATTGCCAACGTCTAATAAAAAAAAGGTTGTCCGTTTTGCTTATAAACAAGACTCTTCACAAAAGCATGCAGGTATGTCCTTGCCAAGAAAAGAAAAGAAGCAAGGATATTTTGGGAAAGATCTTGGTTCAGATTCAAACTCTGGAGATATTTTAATTAAGAATTTTTAGTGGGGGAGGGTGGTAGGAATTTTTATTCATCTATTTTATCTAGGTATTTCTGTGATGGAATTTTTGTAGATTCTTATCATTTCATGATGGTGGGAAAGCAGGTGGAGAGTCAGTCAGAATACTGGGTTCACATACCCTTTTCCGTAGAGCGTAATCGGCCGTTTTAATTCTACATAGAGCGTAGACGGACAACTCTAATTCAACGAGGAGCGTAATTGGCGCATCTTGCGTAGAGCGTGATTCATCGTTTTGATTGTAGCTACCTGGAATTTATGGTAAAACATAATTGAGGAGCATGAAACTGAATTCAGCATAATACATAGCCAGCTCTCAAAATTTAGCATACGGCGTTGTCGGGACCCCCCCCATACAGGCCCTCATACATGAGTCAGTCAGTCATTCATTGATGACACAGAAAGCTATATTTTACTGTCACAAGTGTCATGATACTAGTATATTATGTGGCCAGGCTCAATCTTGATCAAATCATAATTTGTTTTAAGTAGTATTTTATAGTGGTATTCTTCAGTGAAACTTGGGTGAAAGAAAACCGATTCAATGCTTTTCTATTTCATGCCAACCAATAATACATAAAACCCATGTCATATCTGATAGCCATACATGTCATATACAAATCCAGACAGATATCCATTATTCACTGGGCTTCTTTGTTGTTTTAGTGTCGAACCACTTTAACAGAAAGGAGAAGTCATGTCACATGAGTGGTGGTGGTAATGGAGTGTCCACTTATTTTGCACACAATGTCGGTTTACAGTCAACACAGGGATACCCGGAGTCATCAATATTACTTTCCAAAAGTCACTTCAATCATACCAGCAGCAACACTCTGGGCGCTCTGCAGTTTTGTAAACAAATTTCACAAACTTCTTAAGTATAACCTGTGTTACGTTGATGAAGGTTGGACATCCAGGTAATTTCTGTTTCTGTATTTCGATGCCCTTTAGCCCAAAAGGCTAGTCTTCCAGGGTTCATACAGAAATAAAAGCATAAAAAAAGAAACATAATCTACACACTAGTTACAGAACATTAAAAGTTGAGTTCAAAACAATTTTCTAAAAGAAGTATACATGCAACCTGTGTAATGTGGATGAAGGTTAGACATCCAGGTAATAAGATATGCCCAAAAAACAGTTACTCAGGCAACTGGATATGATTTGGGAAGCGGGTGTTACCCATGTATGTTGAACAGGGTCTTTGTTGCCAGAAATGTTTTGTCAGGTCACACCTTGCAATAATTTTGAAGGATTACGGGAACATTATCAAACAGAGGAGTATCAAATTTGGTGCGGCTGGGATCACTCAGCCTTATGTAAATTCCAGTTCATAACTTTGATAGCCACATTACATATCCTGGAAAGAACACACTAATACTTTTGACTTGTGTCATTCAGGACTGGAAATACTGGGTACATATATACACTTTAGTGCACCCAAGATTGGAGCTGTGCACCTAATATTTTACTGGGGGGCACTGGTGCATCTAGTATTTACATGTAATTGTGCAGCTAAAGAAAGGTAGCTAGTTTACATCAGATTGTTCACATTTAAGTATCCAAAGATAACGAAATCTTAACTGTGTTACTTCCACGTGCTTAGATTTTAAGTTATCTATAGAATTATCTGATTCAAGATATGAAAAGAGGCAGTCATGTTTGTAATAAGGTTTTCCTGCCATTCTACTTCATTTTGTTGTGCACCCAATATCTTTCCAGTGTACTAAGATTTTTCGGTTAGTTGCACCAGTACCTATTCCCCGAAATGAATTTCGAGCCCTGGTCAGAATAAGGTGTGTGTGCCTGTGTGTGTGCATGCGCGTGTGCGTGCGTGTGTGTGTGCGTGTGTGTGTGTGTGTGCGTGTGTGTGTGCGTGTGTGTGCATGAGTGCGCGCGCGTGTGCGTGTGTGTATGTGTGTGTGCGTGCGTGTGGGCGTGCGCATGTGCGTGCGTACGTGTGTGTGTGTAGTCAGTCTGCGAAGCTGATTACATGTTCCTCATGGAGGGAAATGTGCAGCAGACTGTTTCAAGAGCCTGTTTCCAGGCTGGGGCATTTCTAGTGAGAGGGCACGTCTCAGGTTTCACAGAGTTTGACAGGCCATTTTCATACTGATTCGTAGGTCATGAACTCCTGCAATTAAATGTGCAAAGATTGAGTGTAACAAGTCGCTCGGTGTGATATAGCTAGCTGCAGCCGCGCCGCGTGTCTGCGAAGCTGGTGTGTTACACCGGCTATACAGATACAGAAGCTGGTGTGTTACGCCAAAGTGCGGTTGTACCAGCTATACCAAAACAGATATAGATATAGGTTACAGTAATGCCAATTTTCTAAGTTACACTTCTGAATTAATTAGGTTAGTGGGTTTTCACAAAGAAAGAAAATAGTGGAATTACTGACTTGAAAACCAACCATTCTTCCACACACATGCATAGTATACACTGGGTACTGGTGTTCTAGATCCACATTAGGTTACAATTCCTGGTACATTGTACAAAATATTGGTCTTAATTTGTTTTTATACCCAGTAATTAATCTTTGGCACGTGTTTACATAGCAAGTACAATGGGTCCCATACATACACACATGTACAGTAACATGGACAGAATCACGTTTGTTACCTTTTGTTCATTGTGCTGAACAACAGTTTTGGGTGGGAGATATCTGCAGCTGTGGAACAGTATCGATTTCTGAGGAAACTTGACAAACATGCTATTGTGTTTTTAAAATAATGCATGGTTTCTTTAGAACTCATACATATATACAAGTATATACAGTATCAATCAGTCACTAGACTCTAGAAAATGACACTAGAGTCGCAAGCAACCTTACTGGATGTCTGAATTACACTGTGGTCAATGCAAGATATCATTAGGCCACACCAATTTAATTTCTTGGTTAACGGATTGGCCCACTTCATTTTTTTCTGATTTGAAAATAAAAATAAAATCAACTGCAAAATGCTGATATTTTGACAGTTGAAAACAGTCCTTTTCTTCCTAGTTGTTACAGGAAATATTGATAAATATAATAAGGTGACTGTTTCAATGCAATGGTATCATTAAAAGTTCAAAATTCATTGTTTAAATTTTGAACCAGCCTGGCGTGTTGACTTCATGGTTCCTATAGTACAATTTTGGGCCATAATAGGATGCCTAGGCCTGTTTTTTTTTTCATCCGCCCGCTCCATTATTTTTCTAGAAAAATCCGTTAACCAAGAAATTAAATTGGTGTGGCCTTAGTTTATTTAGCATTTGATGGCAAGCACGTACGAGGTTATAAGATCCTTTGCTTAATGACATAAAGCACACAAAATACAGGCTAAAGATATCATTAAATACAACTTGCTATAAAAAAGGTATTATTAAAACGTTATTACTTACACATTGCTAAACTTCATATGTGTTGTTTTCTTTTGCACAGGAGCTGCACTACCGATGGCAGTGGGAAGAGGTACTGAGGACCGGGTCCAACACAGGTGGTCTGTACTCACTATACTGGTGATATCTGTACTTCAAGTCATCGCAGAAGGTGAGGAAGGCATTCTCTATTTATTATGATTCATATTAATATATGAAGTATGCAGTTAAAACTGTAGTTTCCAACACAAGGGATCGGACGCCCAAATTTTTTACTGTTCAAGTCCAGTTATTCCTTGAGTCTTGACAAAGACTGGAGTAAATGTGGGTTAGTCCATTTTTGTGTGTTGGAAATTACAGTTTTTATAATAACTTCTACCTACACAGATGAGCTTTGAAGATAAGGCATTGTTGTCATGTCCAACTCCTATATCTGCCTACATAGGTCAACTTCTTTATAATTCATTCCAAAAGTTAAACCAAATCATCCATACATAAAACTATATTGTAAGTCTAATACTGTTATTGATAATATTTTGTAGTTATGATTCTATCTAGCTTGCGTGTTACGCTGAAGGGCGGTTATACCAGCTATACAGATACAGAAGCTTGTGTGTTACGCTGAAGGGCGGTTATACCGGCTATACAGATACAGACTTCTAAGCTGGTGTGTTACGCTGAGGGGCGGTTATACCGGCTATACAGATACAGAAGCTGGTGTGTTGCGCCGAGGGGCGGCTATACCAACTATACAGATACATAATTATTATACTATAGATCAGCGATCAGCCTTGCAGTATAGTGGTTTCATAGTTGCTGGCATCCATTGCACCATGTACAATTGTCGAGCAATAAATTTTGTTCTCTTTTGGAAAACACCATTCTCCGCCCAGTTTAGGACACTGCTATGTCCCTCCAACATTGTGCGCAATGTCGACTCAGATCCAGAATCAGATCCACTTGCATCTGTTCAGTACAATTTGGCCGGTTGAAACCGCTGACATTCTGGTTGGGAGCACATTTACTTGAAAACAATATCTAGCTAGAGTCGGGAGCCGGCATACCTCTGCCACTTTTGGAGCGTAGTTCCTCCATGTGGCATTTCCCTGCAGTATATTAATCCGCAAGTTTTATGCCAAATTACGGAAGTGCTACAAATGTAGCTGAAGAGTATCGTTCAAGTGTGACAATATGTTTGTAAACTGATACGTTATAGAAGGCATGTGTCATATTTTTAGGAGGTCGACACATTCATTCCAGTCCTTGTGTCGGACGTGATTTCTGTGGCTGTCCAGATTATATAAGGCCACATCAATTTAATTTGTTGCTTCTCAGATCGCCCTGTCCATTTTTTTCTGATTTGAAAAAAAAAAAAATTTTGTTCTAAATTAACTGCAAAATGCTCAATGAAAGACATATTTTGGTCCCAATGGTTGAAGAAAGTCTTTTTCTTCCTATTTGTTTAAGTTTTTCAATGTAACAATGCACTTTTGCCTCATTCAAAGTTCAAAATCTATTGTTTTAATTATAAACCAGCCTGGTATGTTCACTTCATGGCTCATATTGTAACATTTCCGGCTATCATGGGGTGCCTTGGCCTGTTTTTTTGTTTTTTTTCGCCCTGTCGCTTCATATTTTTTCTGAAAAAATCCGAGAAACAACAAATTGGTATGGCCAAACAACAAAAAAATAAACAGTAGTTACTCCATCATCAGTCTTTCTAGAATATTAAATGCAAAAACAGAAAATATTTCTCCTCCAGTATATGGCAGTTATAACAACTGTTGTTATTGCCGAATATGACGATTTGACATGTTCATGTTGATTGGCAAAGTAATTACAACTCCAGAACTGCGTAATGTCTAAAGCAAAGGAATATTTATAATTAATATGAATTTTAGCAATGTGTAACAAATAATGTTTTAATAGCATTTTTTGATAGCGTGTCGTTGCATTTAATGATATATTGTATTGACTACATCGCAATGCAGGTATCCAGTAAGATTACCTGCGAGTCTGATGTTTAAAGTACTGTGTACTATGTGCTGTATATATGTCAGGGTTGGACAAGTCCTATTGCCCACTACTTGCCCAGGGCAAGTAAAAGTACTGTTCGGGCAAGTGAATATCCCCCCCCACTTGCCCGATTGGGCAAGTAAATTTTTTGGATGCAAAGTATAGCCCCTGCAGTATTTGACCAAGTTTCAAACAATTTTGATAAATGAAGCATCCAACATTATAAACTCTATTTTAAAAAAATAATTTCCTTTCTGTGAGTAAAATGCATAGAAATGCGTCGTATTTTGGGCAAGTGAAAAGTTGGTTCGGGCAAGTGGAAATGACCATGTACTTGCTCGATACGGCAAGTGGATATTTGAAAACTTGTCCAACCCTGTATGAATGTGTTCTAAATAAACCATTCATGAATTAATTTACTATTTTCCAGAGTCACCACCAAAGTTCAATGTTGAACCCGAAACGACCACACAAGAACCCGGGAGCAAAATAAAACTTCGGTGCTCCGGCAGCCCGCACGGGGCGAAACATTCCTGGTACTACAACGGTCTGCCTCTCAGCTCCAACCCGGTACCCGGCGTCTTCGTACGGAAAACGGGAAAGAAACTTGTTATCGAGAGATTCCAGAGGAGCGCGAGCGACCGGCATGTGGGGATGTACCAGTGTGCCGTCACGTCACGGGCAGGGTCCATTATCAGCCCTCCGGCGTACTTACATTTGGCAGGTAAGGAGCATTTCTTCCTCTTCTTCTTTCATACTGCTTAGCCCAAGGCCTAGGAAAAATGTTGTATAAGAATATTATCCTGTTTCAGTCCTGAACAAATTAGGGTTGGTAGGTAGGGATTTTTTTTTAGACTTCAGTGATATCTATATGGGGGTCCAACTTATACAATACAGTTTAACAAAGTAAAACTTTCATGAACACACTTCTATTTTCAATGTCAATGTTAGAAAACCAATCGTACACCGTTTTATCACTCAGGTGTCAGATCATGGAGCTAGAAAAGCTCGAAAAATTTATGTCCCTTGCAGGGGTCCACCCCCCAAAAAATTGTAGGGTCAGCAGGTTTTTCTAGGGTCGGTCTGGAAACAGGAAACACAACATTTTTTTTTTCCTAGGCCCAATAGCAGTTGGATTATTAGCAGCTGCACATGTGTTTGATTACAGAATTTCCGGTACAAATAAAACAAAGGGAAATGAAAGTAGGGGCACTAAGGAACCTAAATAACTGACTCTGTGGGTTTAAAAGACGAGACAAGTGCATTTAGTCCATGAGTAATATGTACATGTTTTCTACATAACCTACATTTATTTTTTTAGATGAAACTAGATAAAGCTTTAGATTGTGTGTACATATCATCTGACAGGTATTGAAATTTTGTTGTGTTATGTTTGTTGTGACATGCAAGCCAAAACCTTAAAAGTCAAAAGTCAAGAAACCGTGTTGCATCAATATAAAACAGTTAATAAAATTGTACAACATGATAAACACATTTTGCATGTTTGCTGTAACACTAGATTGTCCTGGCCAACTTTGTATACTCTAGGTTATATACTGCCTTTGTTGTTTTCCTTCAGAAATTGCCAAAATGCAAATAAATGACATATTATGGGCTTTTGCGAGTTAATGGCCCATTATGTAACTTTAGGACAATGCAAAATATTGTCATAGTATGTGAAGAAATGACTGAAAAATCGATCTTTTTGTATGATAGGTTGTATGATAAGTTGACTTATTCCTTTTGTAATCCAGAACAGTATTCAGGGAGAAAAAATAATCCTCGTTGTTCCATACAGACATTTTTAAACCTTTCAGTATGATGCAGGGTGACTGTTTCCATCTTCTGTAATCAAATGTTAACTGCCTCTTTTCTTCCCTTCCTTCAGAAATTGCCAAGTTCAAATATATGACATATATGATGGGCTTCTGTGAGTTTAGATGTTTAGACGTGATACATACTAAGAGAACAAGAAATAGCCATGCCTTCAAGTACCAGAGTTATCAACCAAGGATTGAGGTGTTCAAGAATTCATTCTTTCCTAGAACTGTCGCAGAGTGGAACTCACTGTCACCAAGTACAGTAGGGGCATTGTCAATAGATAGCTTTAAACAATGTCTAGAGCTAGAAGTTCAAGGGTTAGGTGTAACAAGTTGATCGGTGTAATATAGCCAGCTGCCGCCGCGCCACGTGCCTGCGAAGCTGGTGTGTTACGCCGAAAGGCGGTTATACCGGCTATACTGATACAGATACAGATGATGCAAGGTATTGTTGCCAGCTTCTGTATTTCAGATACTAACTTCCTTTTTTCTTTCTTTCAGAAATTGCCAAGTTCAAGACGGATGTTCCGCAGAAGGTTAAAGTATTACAGGGCAACACTGCAATAATTCCCTGTGTGCCTCCTGTCAGTAAACCAGCAGCTAGGGTACAGTACAGGCACGAGGGAAAATGGATAAAAAACAGTACAGGTACAGTTTTACAGTTTTATTAAGAACTCGTATTTCCCCAGAACTATCGTAGACTGGAACTCGTTGCCACCAAGTACAGTTGGGGCATCATCACTAGAAAGCTTTAAACAACTCCTGCAATCAAATGTGCAAACATTGAGTGTAGCAAGCTGTTCGGTGTGATATAGCTAGCTGCCGCCACGCCGCGTGCCTGCGAAGCTGGTGTGTTACGCCGAAGGCCGGTTATACAGGCTATACAGGTACAGAAGCTGGTGTGTTACACCGAAGGGCGGTTATACCGGCTATACAGATACAGAAGCTGGTGTGTTACGCCGAAGGGCGGTTTTACCGGCTATACAGATACAGAAGCTGGTGTGTTGCGCAGAAGGGCGGTTATACTGGCTATATCGATACAGATACAGAAGAAAATCATCCTCAGGCATGATGTACATGTACAACATGGCTGAAGCTGCACGATTTGTAGTACACTCGTATGTGAAAAAACAGCAAACAGACAAAACAGAAAACTCGGGCAATGCTGTACAAAATGACTAACTATGGCCATACCAATTTAATTTCTTGGTTAACGATTTGGCCGCTTCATTTTTTTCTGATTTGCAAATAAAAATAAAAATTCAGAATCAACTGCAAAATGCTCATATTTTGCCCTGAACAGTTGAAAACAGTCCTTTTCATCCTAATTGTTACAGTTATTCCATCTTTCAATGCAATGGTATTATTAAAAGTTCAAAATTCATTGTTTAAATTTTGAACCAGCTTGGTGTGTTGACTCCATGGCTCCTATCGTACCATTTTGGGCCATAATAGGATACCTAGGACGGTTTTTATTTTTATTTTTTTCGCCCGCCCTCTCCATTAGTTTTCTAGAAAAATTTGTTAACCAAGAAATTAAATTGGTGTGGCCTATGGTGGCCTACAAAGTAACAAAATGATAATGTGGAAACAAAGCAATTTATTTTGCCAGCACCACTCATTGAAAATACAAATGTATAGATACTGCTGTGCAGCTTTCTTGCCTTCATCTTACAAAGGAAAACTTGTTTCATGCTTGTTAAAACATAGTCTAGGTTTATATATTTTCCGGTGACAACACAAGCTTAAATTGTATGATGTCCATGAACTGATAATTATATATGCTTTTTAAAAGATGAGCAAGTTGAGATCATTGAAATCTTTTAAGTTATGTTACAGGTAGATTTAGATTGTTTTGTTATGTAATCTTCTTCCTTTCTCTATCTACATGTATGTGTACATATTGGCCAGGAGCCTGAATTAAATAAAAAATGTTAAACCAACATAAAAATCACCTGGATGCTATCTGAAACGTCTGACTGTTTATAAAATCATATCCAGTTTCTTCATCATCATCATCATGCCAGTTGCTTGAGTAACTGTTGTTTTTTTTGTGTACATGGATATACCAATGTACCTGTATGTCTAACCTTCACCAACGAAATATAAAAATCCTTTAGAACTATCTGTTAAAAATGTATAATATCTACAACATTGATAATTTCTGAATCTTGTTTCAGAACGTATATTGATAACACCGTCAGGGAACCTACAGATAGCAAACGTTACACTGGAGGACTGGGGCCTGTACAAATGTGCAGCAGTCAACCCTGTAACATTGCATCAGAGGGTCACCAATACATCCAAGGTTAAAATTGATGGTAAGTTTCCAAACATTTGTTTTTGAATCTAAATGATTTAGACTTGCCACATCTATTGCTGTTACATGTAGCACTGGAAATTTGCATATGCAGGTTATTGAAGTCGAAGTTGGAGATGTGTGAGTATTTCTAATGTCTACCTGCACCAGTCCATATATTGGGTTTACATGTATTTAGGCAAATGTGGATTTTAAGTTGCATTTTGGTACCACCTACATTTTGATTGAAGTGTGAAAGAAATACTGTATTTACAGTGGTTTCTGAATAGCTCATACTGTAATCCATACTTTCAAAACTCTTGAGTGGTGCAAGTAATTTTCAGTGTTGCATCCACAGTGCAGGTAAGCTGGAAAAAAAGTATTTAAAGTTAAAACTTTTGTTCCAACACAAAAAATTCTCTCACCTAGAGCTTTCGACCAGTCACTCTGGTCTTCCTCAGTAGACTGACCCAGTGAGGCTTGTCACGTGGCTTCTTTGAAGTGTGATGTCAACACTGGGTCAAAGGTATCTGGTAGACGATGTCGAC